CCCATGCCTTTGGATCATATTCCACTTTTGATCCCTCTATAGGGGTTCGACTCTGCCCATGACCGCTTACCTCCCCCCCCTTCCCCCCCCCCCCCCCCCCTCCTCCCCAATGTCCCCTTATCTGTTGATTCTCTATTTCCTCTCTTAACCAGCTGCCACTTTCCTGACCCACAAGTATCCAACTCTCCCTCCTCCACTTCCCAACCAGGTATCATTTGTCTCTGCAGTCCAAGTTTGTCACAAAATTCCTCCATATCTTCCGGGAATCTTAAGATAGCTGTAGTTCCATCCCTCCACCCAATTAAACTTAAGTCACGGCCCCATCTGTATTTCACACTTTTTGTTTTTTCATCTCTTCTAATAGGGGTTTCAGTGATCTCTTCCTTCTCAGAGTCTCTGCTGTCAAATCTGCAAAAATTTGGATATTTTTCCCTCCATATGTGATATTTGTTCTTCCTTTAATCTTTTTCCATATTTCTTCTCTATCTCCATAGTTATGAAATTTAACAATTATATCTCTTGGTTTTTCTACCCCTTTTCCTTGTTGATACTTCCCAGTCCTGTATACTTCATCCAGTTTGAACATCTCCTCATCCGAGTTGTCCATTATGGAGTTCAAGATTTTGCCAGATAATTCTTTTAGGTCTTCCCCCTTTGTCTGTTCCGGGACTCCTCTTACTCTGATATTATTTCTCCTTTCTCTATTTTCTTGTTCTTCCATCCTATAAAGCAATCTCTTGTATTCTTTTCTATCTTCAATTATCCATTTCTCTATTTTGGGATGGTCTGAGCTTGGGCTTGTACCTTCTCCTCCACTTCCTCCACCCTAGTTAACAATTGTCCCAAATCTTCCCGGATCATCCCCATCTCTTGCTTTATTGAGTTTTCCAAACCTTTAAACATCTCCGCCATTTCTTTTTTGTTAGGTATTTGCATATCTCTTTCCAACTCTCTCGGTTCAATACCTTCCAATTGATTATTATATACTGGGCCCAGGGAAAGTCTCGGGCTATTATCCACACTTATATCCAATTCACTTTTTTCACTTATTCCCTGAGTTCTTTCTGGGGTAACATTTCCTTGTGACACATATTTCTTAATCGTACCAGTTTGGGTGTTCTTAGGCCCGCTCCCTTTGATATTTTTACCTTTCATGTTGTTATTGAAATTTTTACTCTTGTTTCATGAAACTTCAGTTCTCTTACTCCTCCCGATCTTCAGACCTATCCTAGGAATCCCCTAATTCTTTTTTAATCAGGTTGAATTTTTAAGGCACTGTCTTATTCTGGGCACTTGGGAAACTAGTGCATGAACTCAATATATATAAAAGTCTAATATGCGAACCCAATGTATATAGCGTGTAAAAAGGGGACCTGTAGGCAAACCCACGGTCATCACTCACCCACCGCGTTGGAATCTCACTCCAGAAGCAGTCCTCCTATGTATTTATGTCCCCTTATAGCCTCTTGAAGGGATTCCTAGGGGTCTCACGTAGTTCATGTAGCTTATCTTCGGATCCCAAGTCCTCTTAAATTGGAGTTGATATGCAGGTTCATATTTAAATAGAAAAAGGAGTAGTGTAGGAGGTATGCTATTTAGCCGTATTATGAAATTGGAGATATAAAGTTATAAAACTGTAAGGTTGTAAAGTTGAGAATGGTATGGAGGTGATATGGAGTGGAGGTAGATTAGGTAGAGGAGACAGGTAGATGTTGTGCAGATTTAGAGGTTGTATATGTTGTGGGGGCAATATGTCCTTTGCTCTCAACCCCTTCACCCACTTGCTTTGATGTCGGGCAATCTCGCTCCTTCACAGAGCTCCCAGAGCTCCTCCGCGGCTTCCCACGTGTCGGTGCCGCTCCAATTCCTCGCCCGTCTCACTGGCGTCTCCCTGGCAACCCTGCTCCTCCGAAGCCACCGCTCGACGCCAGAGGATACCACGAGGCGTCCCACTCTCAGCTCTCTCTCCCGGCTCCAGGCTGCCCGACCGTCTCCCCGGCAACCCCACTCCTCCTCAATAGCAGCTGCAGGGCGTCGGGGGAAAAAACCCTGAGGTGTCCCTCTCCCGGCTCTCTCCCGACACCCTCCTGGGTCCGACCGTCCCCGGGCCTCCACGAACCCTCTCCTGCAGGTGGGTCTCTGCACTCAATCAGTGCTGCTGGCCATTCTGTCAAGGACTCATAGGGAGGATAGGATAGACGAGGGGAGGCTAACGGAGAGTGCTTACTACACCCTCTCCCGTGCCGCCATGGTCAGGCTCCACCCCCCCTTCCTAAAGGTGTTCTATTGGGTTGAGGTAAGGGCTGTGCAGGCCATTCCAGTTCCTCCACCCCAAACTCACTCATCCATGTCTTGATGGATCTTTTTTTGTGCACTGGTGCGCAGTCATGTTGGAACAGGAAAGGGCCATCCCCAAACTGTTCCCTCAAAGTTGGGAGCATGAAATTGTCCAAAATGTCTTGGTATGCTGATGCTTTAGGAGTTTCCTTCACTGGAACTAAGGGGCCAAGCCCAACCCGTGAAAAATAACCTCACACCATAATCCCCCTTCACTGAACTTTGCACTTGGCACAATGCAGTCAGGCAAGTACTGTTCTGGCAACCGCCAAACCCAGACATGTCCATCGGATTGCCAGACAGAAGCGTAATTCGACACTCTAGAGAACACGTCTCCACTGCTCTAAAGTCCATTAGCGGTGTGCTTTACATCACTGCATCCGATGCTTTGCATTGCACTTGGTGATGTAAGGCTTGGATGCAGCTGCTCGGTCATGAAAACACATTCCATGAAGCTCTCTACACACTGTTGTGCAAATCTGAAGGCCACACAAAGTTTGGAGGTCTTTAGCTATTGACTCTGCAGACAGTTGACTACTTCTGTGCGCTTCAGCATGCGCTGACCCTGCTTTGTTAATTTACGTGGCCTACCACTTTGTGACTGATTTGCTGCTGTTCCCAGTTCCTTCCACTTTGTTATAACACCACTAACAGTTGACCGTGGAATATTTAGTAGCAAGGAAATTTCACGGATGGACTTATTGCACAGGTAGCAACCTATCACGGTACCATGCTTGAATTCACTCTGCTCCTGAGAACGACCCATTCTTTCACAAATGTTTGTAGAAGCAATCTGCATGCCTAGGTGCTTGATTTTTACACCTGTGGCCATGGAGGTGATTGGAACACCTGAATCCAATGATCTGGAGGGCTGGTCAAATATTTTTGGCAATATAGTGTATCAGCATGGATGTCGCACCACTTCCTTAAACTAAATCTAAAACCGAGCTGATAATATCCCTCCTATAACCCCCCCCCCCCCACACTTTTGCCCTTATCCATGACTTTTCCATCAAGAAGATCAATAATGCAACAATCAGTCCCTCCCCAGGGTATTAGGTGTAATCCTGGACTCTGACCTATCCTTTTGGCCCCAAATCCAGTTGCTGTCAAAAGCTTGTAGACTTCACCTCCATAACATCTTTAAAATCTGTCCTTACTTGACTAACGAAACCACCAAGCTACTCCATTCATTCCCTTGTTATCTCTCGCCTTGACTATTGCAACTCTCTTCTCAAGACTTTCCTCTCCATAGGCAATCCCCTCTTTAGTCTCTCATGAATGCTGGTGCCAGACTTATCGACTTTACCAACCGCTCAGTATCCTCTGCCCATCCCTCCACTGGCATCCGATTGCCCAGCAAATTAAATTCAAAATGTTGATAACATGCAAAGCTATTCAGAACTTTGCCCCAAGCTACATCACCAATCTTGTCTCAAAAAAAATCACCCAAACCGTACTCTCTCATGATCTCCTGCTCTCAAGCTCCCTTGTCTCCTCCTCCCATGCTTGTCTCCTGGACTTCACCAGAGCCTCTTCCATCCTCGGAAACTCTCTACCTCAGTCAAAGTCCGGCTATCCCTACTCTAGCAGCCTTTAGGCGATCCCTGAAAAATCTCTTCAGGGAAGCCTACCACAGCTCTGATTAAACATTTTATCACTTTCATCAGCTCATCCCCCACAGTTATAACCTTTTATACCACTTGCCCCACCCTTTTAGATTGTAAACTCTTATGAGCAGGGATCTCTTAATCCTCTTGTTTTTTATGTTGTAACTGTACTATCCTTTTTTTATATCGTAAAGCTCTGCGCAAACTGTTGGCACTATAAAAATCCTATAGAATAATAAAGGGTCCCAGTGACCCTAGTAATTGAGGTATCTCCATGTGCTTGACCCGACTAGCCCACTCACCAAGTGGCTTTTCAGAGGCAAGGCAAGAGTTGAGGCAATGCCAACAGCTCTGGACCTGGAAGGTACTCTGCAGCTAACCTTTATCCAGACCAAAGTTTAGGAAGCACCTTACACTGAACCCAGTGCCCAAATGACGTGGTACTCCCAAAAGTCAGGCACAGGACAGCCACCTTGGGAAGCTGCATTTAAAAAGATGAAACTCCAGCTGCAATGTAGAAAAGAGTCTTGATTAAAATTTGGGGGGAAAAAAAGGTGCTAGCAAAAAATCATTTAGGCTTAACACGGCAGAACTCTAGAAAAGTCATCTTGCATATCTAGGACATGATGAAAAAACCCACTTGCTGGTAGTGAGATGGTTATCCTGTGTTGGCCTACAGTTTTTTTGTTTTTTGGCAGTATCCAGTTCTCCCTTAGGTGGCACTATAACCAGAAAGTTTAAGATTTCCTGCCTTCCTGTATTAGAATGAAATATTGTGAACTGAATCACAATTTTTTTTTTTTTGTTTTTTTTTTTCCTCCTCAATGTACTTTTGATACATGTCTGTGGGAGACGTGAAATATATTCCTTGTCTCCTCTGGAGGATTGGAGACACATGTTTGAATTTTTTGCTTTGTTTTGCAACCAAGCCATTCTGAGTCCTCAATTTGTCAGTATAATAGATGCATAGGCTATGCAAACTGGGGAGAGGTTGAATGTGCTCTTTGGTGCCTCCTAATTGTTAAAGCAGTGTATTGTGTGCCTTTTTTACAGGGTAGACATTGTGCATCTCACCCTTTACAATCTGGGGGTGCTGAGTAAGAAGAAATACTTTGATTTTGAGGAGGTCATTAACTTTGTGAATGAGAAGTGGGACCATCTGCAGCTTGGAAAGGTACGTTCAGTGGCACAAAATGTATGGAGGATGGTAAAGCTGTAAGAATGCTCAAAAGACATGCTGGTGGGTTAATTGGCTTTTTTCTAAATTGGCCCTAGTATGTATTTGTGAGGTGGGAACTTTAGATTGTAAGCTCCTTGAGGGCAAGAACTGATATGAATGTACAGTATATGTAGAGTGTTGCATAAATTGACAGCGCTGAATAAATAAGGGAGGACCCCAAAACAAAGCATTGCGATACTTTGGTCCCTGTTATAAAGCACGCTAGGCTTTATTTCCCTCATTTTGTTCTACTACCAAAAAAATTAGGATGCTGGAAAATCTTGTTTTGAGAGCATGCTTTGTGGCCATAGTCAGTATAAATTTTGAAAGTCCTCATTAAAGTATCTCCTCCAGACTGTGACTTACAAGTCTTCCTGTCAGACAACTCCAGATTGCCCCCCTGTGTTCCAAATCCCAACTACAATGCATCTTACAAATGCTTCTACCTAAAGCAACTGACTTTAAAACAGACCTGTCATGAAAGAAATCCAGGGCTGTCATTGTTGACAACCCTCTAAAAATGCTAGTTTCTTGATAGTCACATTAACCCCCCCATGGCTTCAGTACTTTTAATTAAAAAAAAGGTGCAAATACTAAGCGCAATGAGGTTCCAGGGGATATGTAGATAACCACAGTATGGGCAGCTCCAATAGGTTATCTGACCAGCAATGAGACATGAGCACATAACAAATAAAGGGGAGCTCCCAATCGTGTGGAAGGCAATAGGAGGAGTCCCAAGCCGAAGAACAGATAAAATCAAAATTCACTTTAATGTTGGGTTAAAAAGCTTTTTAACCCAACATTGAAGAAGTGAATTTCAATTTTATCTCCTAGATTGTAAGCTCCAAGGAGCAGGGCCCTCCTATCCCTCTTGTATTGAACTGTATTGTTGCTGTATTGTCTCCCTTTATATTGTAAAGCACTGAGCAAACTGTTGGCGCTATATAAATCCTGTATAATAATAAATAAAATAATTTTATCTGTTCCTCAGCTTGTGACTCTATTGACTTCAACAGGGTTGGGAGCGCTTCTTTACTTGTTTAGTATTTTTAATTAGTGGTGCACCAAAATGAAAATTGTGGTGCCGAAAACGAAAATTCAAAATGCACTTGGCCGAAAACCAAAACGGAAATGTGCAGTTTCTTAAAAATTAATATATTTTTTGGCAAAAAATACATTTTGGTTAAAAACAAAATCTATACCCTAATTATTTTGTTAAATATGAGAGTATGTTACGGCGAGTAAATGGATATCCAACATGTCAGGCTTTAAAATTGCGCATTCTCGTGGAATGGCGTGAAACTGCGGTACTTAAAAATCTCCGTGGGTGATGCTTTGTACTTTTACACACTAACCTGTAGAAATTTTTAAAGGAGGTCTAGTGCGAGGATTATTACTCTTGCTCTGATGTCCGTGGTGATACCTCACGTGTGTGGTGGTTTGAACACAGTTTTACATATGTGGGCATGGCCTACATATGTGTTCACCACTACATGGGGGGATGGGGGCACTTTAAAAAAAACAAAAAAAAACTTTACTGTCCCTTTTTTTTAAAAAAAAAAAAAAAAAAAAAAAAAATTGTAATCACTTTTATTCTTATCACAAGGAATGCATTCATCCCTTGTGATAGAAATAATTAGTGACAAGTCCTCTTTATGGAGAGATGTGGAGTCTTATTGACCCCACATCTCTCCTCTGCAATGTAAAGCATTAGATCAAAAAAAGAATTGCTCTAGTGCTTAAAAAGAAAAAAAAAAAAAAATGGAAGTGACATCACTCCGGTCCTCCAGGGGCATGGAGATGAGTGAAGGCCATCGTTCCTTCACTAATCTCTTTATGCCCAGCGCTGGGATCGTTCGATGGTTTCTCGGGTAAGGCTGAGAACTACCGAGTGGCAGCGGCAAGGGGCGGGTTTTTTCGGCACCTGTATTGGTGCTTTTTTTTTTCATGATGGCCGAAAGGGTAGATTTCTGCCAAATCGTTTCGGCCACCGACATTTCAGTGCATCCCTATTTTTAATCAATGACCCAGAATAATTATGCAGATCAGAGAAATTGTATTGTATCCGAGTACTTTCAAGCTTCACAACAGCCAGGCAGCTGGCATTTATATATGCCATAGATCAACAGTTGCTTTATATATCTGATGACAGGCTCCCTTTTTAGAAGGGTATACAGTATGCTCATGGGTGTTTTTTTAGTCATAAAAATCAGGAATATGCTGACAAAGATCTGAGTATTTAATTGTTTCTCTCACAAAAGTTTCACTTAGTCAGCAATGAAATCTCCGCTGCTGTTTTCACTTTCAGTTTTTTAGTTTTTGTCTCCCTGCAAAAATGTCCTTCTGTGTCTATTCACTACATTGTGTAAAGACAAGAAACCGGAAAATAACCTTGCTTTGTACTTACAAGAGAAAAATAGCATAGAAAAGAGAAGGTAATCCTAACGTTCATCATGTGTAGGATGAAACAGTAAAGAGACTATACGTTTTTTTTTGTTTTAAATTCCCGCTAATTACAAAGGTGCCCATATCCTGGAGACCTGTGACAGCCAAAAACCATCGGCATCATCATCATTTCTCAACTGACTAGAGAAAAACGTAACTGCTTTAGCTGACACACCTGAGTCAGTATGTTTGGTAACAAGCAGCAAATAGAAGGCAAAATCTTTCTTGTCCAATAAAACGCTTGCCTTAGGAGCCTAGCTTAGTGCACTCATTTCTGCATTTTATTCACCTGACCCATCATACATTTTGTATGTCTAGCTCTCTGTTACTCCACCTGAAGACCGAGGACAACACCTCCTGGAGGCATTAAACAGCTATAAAAGCCGGTAAGATGTCTGTAAAATCTTCCCTACTAAAAGCTAACCTTCATGCGCCATTTTAATCTCTTGCCACTGTCTGGCCGCTGTTTCCTATTGCTATTCTTAATCTCATGTAATGCAGCTAGGTTTCACCTTTTTAAAAATATGGAAAGTTGTGAAGGATAGATGCTTCAGCTGGTCTGGAGGTATGGGGTTCTTCCTTTTCATTGTGAAGTAACTAACATCCTTTGTGGCCTACTATCAAACATATATTTTAGGTTTCTCTGTGGCAAAGAGATCAAGAGAAAAAAGTGCATCTTCAGACTGAGAATCAGAGTGCCACCTAGCCCGCCTGGTAAACTTCTGCCAGATAAACTTCTGGGCCAGGCAGACAATAGACCTGGAGGTGAAGTTAAAAAGAAGGGAAGGAGCAAGTATACCCTCAAAAACAGGTATGGTGTTTTTTTTTTTTCTGTTTTTATAGTAATGTTCTCTTTACTTATACAGTATAATAACCCTGTCAATACCCTCATCTTAAAGTTCACTGGTCTAAGTAAAGAGGTGCATATGATGAAAATCTTTCATTGTAAAGTAACTAATAGCAACCATCTGCCACATGCAATAAAGTCAGCTGCAGGATTTTTTTTTTTTTTTCTTTTGGCTACCACAGGATTTCTGGTATTTGGGTGACATGGGGTGTAGCAATTGTGCACACAGATATGGACGCGGTCATCCATCTTGCTCAAGACCCCCCATCTTGTATCATTTCTCACTCCAAATCAGCCCCCCCCCCCCCTCTCTGTTGAGTGACACGTGGTCCCAGTGTGCTGGGTTCAGGAGTGCACAGGACACAGTTGGATATCCTTCATTGTTGTAACCCCAATTAGCTGATTCCAGGGTGTCTGGCAAACTCTTGCTCTGAAGCTAATCATAAAGCCATAAACCCGTCAGTCACTGGACTTCAAACACATTTCAGAATAGCCGTAAAACGTACATCCCATTTAAAAAAAAACAAAAAAAACCACTTTTCATAACTTAAAGGGAATACATACAATTGAACAAAGCATATATTCGGATAGCTCAGTTTAATGCGAGTCGCCTGATATCTTACACCCTTAGTTAAAGTCTACAGGAGAGTAGAAAGCCATATAGTTCTAGCTGAAATAGTAAGATATGGCATATTTAATGTCTGGACATTCAGGATATCATTCTGCATATTAATCTACTAGTGGCTAGGCTGCTACATGTACCCTAGGGAAGGTTATTGACCATGATATAAACTGGGAGGGATTTGGTCATAGCCTGAGTTCCCCGCCTAAAACACCCCTCCCCCAAATGAGGCGATTGGTTCTCTGCTTTAAGGAGACACCCTGCTGAAATCCTAGAAAAAGGCTGTGATGCTTGGAGCAGTAAGTTGAAGAATTCTCCCTTTTAACATCAGGAACCAACTTTGGGAGAAAAGGCACCCTTTTGCTATGACACTTAAACGCTGCTTAAACCAAGGCTGACGGCAAGTATCCTCCCTCTCTAAACTTCTTTCTGTTAACTCTCTGTTGTGGTATTGCTCTCTGTGTATGTATGTATGTATGTGTGTGTATATGTGTGTGTATATGTGTGTATATGTATATGTATATATATATATATATATATATATATATATATATATATATATATATATGTGTATGTATATACATACATACATACAGTTGTGTTCAAAATAGCAGTCAGACATCACTAACCTGATAAATCACTGTTTTTGGTACAAATAATATTTCTACATGGCAAATAATTTACTAGCAGGTGTAGTAGAGTAATAGAAATGCAACAGTCATGACATGCATGCTGCTGATTCTGTGTAATTTAATCACTAATTGAAAGGGGCATGTTCAAAATAATAGCAGTGTGGAGTTCTATTAGTGAGGTCATTCATTCTTTGAAAAACAGGTGGCAATTATTGCCTTTATTCAAGGAAGGAAGGCAGCAAATGTTGTACATGCTGCTTACAGTGCATTTCTCTCTGAAATTCTGAGGAAAATGGGTCGTTCCAGACATTGTTCAGAAGAACAGCGTACCTTGATTAAAAAGTTGATTGGAGAGGGGAAAAATATAAAGAAGTGCAGAAGATGATAGGCTGCTCAGCTAAAATGATCGCAAATGCTTTAAATAGGCAACCAAAACCAGTAAGATGTGGAAGAAAGTGAAAAACTACCATTCGAATGGATAGAAGAATAGCCAGAATGGCAAGGACTCAGCCAAGAATCCGCTCCGGGAAGATCAAAGAAGGTCTAAAGTCACCTGTGAGTACTGTTACAATTAGAAGACGCCTATGTGAAGCCAAGCTATCTGCAAGAAGACTTTGGTCCCACTGTTGGAAAAAAAAAGACGTGCTGAAGAGGTTACAATTTGCCAAAGAGCACATTGACTGGCCTAAAGAGAAATGGCGCAACATTTTGTGGACTGATGAAAGTAAGATTGTTCTTTTTGGGTCTAGTGGCTGGAGACAGTTTGTCAGACGACCCCCAAACACTGAATTCAAGCCACAGTACACTGTGAAGACAGTGAAGCATGGTTGAGCAAGCATCATGATATGGGGATGTTTCTCATACTACAGTATTGGGCCTATTTATCGCATACCAGGGATCATGGATCAGTTTGAATACATCAGAATACTTGAAGAGGTCATGCTGCCTTATGCTGAAGAGGAAATGCCCTTTCAATGGGTGTTCCAACAAGACAACGACCCCAAACACACCAGTAAATTATTATTATTATTATTATACAGTATTTATAAAGCGCCAATAGTTCGCTCAGCGCTGTACATTACAAAGGGGGACAGAACATGTGACAGAACAATACCAATACAATGCAAAACATGAGGGGATCAAGGGCCCTGCTCTTTCGAGCTTACAATCTAGGAGATAAATGTGCAACATCTTGGTTCCAGACCAACAAGATTGACGTTATGGAGTGGCCAGCCCAAAACCCGGATCTTAATCCAATAGAAAGCTTGTGGGGTGACATCAAAAATACAGTTTCTGAGGCAAAACCAAGAAATAGACAAGAACTGTGGAATGTAGTCCAATCCATTCTGGGCTGGAATACCTGCCAGAAGTTGGTTGACTCCATGCAACACAGATGTACAGCAGTTCTCAGAAACAGTGATTTATACAACTGCATATTAATTAAGTGATTCAAAGGAAAGAAATCTTCAAACATTTTTCTGTTTTATATAGTGAATGTTTGTTTGTTTGAGTTTGTAAAGAAGAATACAAACACTGCTATTTTTTTGAACCGTCTAATATTCACTTTTCTTAAATTTTTTTTTTTTTTTTTTTTTTAGAGGAACGACACAAATTTTGATATTTTTCTTCATGTATTGATTTGGAATAGAATGTGTAGTGTTCCCAATGCATTTGTGTGTATGGAAATAAAAGCTATTAGAAGGATTTTGAGCTTTATTCACTTTTTTCAACACACTGCTATTTTGAAAACTGTGTGTGTGTATGTATGTGTGTGTGTGTATATGTATGTGTGTATGTGTGTATGTGTATGTATATATATATATATATATATATATATATATATATATATATATATATATATATATATATATATATATATATATATATATATATGAGACTTTTTCTGTGAATACTTTTTATTGCACCATTTTGACCTTTTTTTCTTCCTTTTTTTTTTTTTTTTTTTATTTTATAGTAATCTTATTTTCTGAAAAGTGTTGAATTGTGTCTAAAGCTCTTTCATGCAAACTAAGAATCCCTGCCTCTGAAGAGTGCTACTGTGTGTTTTAAACCTCTATATACATCTGCCTGCGGTGACAGTGTGTATACAGACGATTATTCAAACATCATAGTGTTACTGCTAAGATTGGCGAGTTTCCTCCTCCGTACAAAAGGGTGGTGGTGGCAGTGTGAAGGGTTAATTGCGTAATTAACCTGACCCAGTAACAATCGCTGTCAGGCTGCAGTACAGAGATTGTGGTCTATTAGCTGGAAAATCTTTGTGCAGGGTGCAGCTGAGCGTGGTATTGTTACGCACATTACAGAGTGGTTTTAGATTGGCCAGTCCTTCGGTCCCGAGTTGGTGAGAAGGGCTGGGGGTCTGACGCCGCGACCGTCACATGGGGCACATGAAAAAAGTAATTTTATCACAAATGAGTTATAGAATGTCTATTATAATGTTATCATGTGATCTATAAGCATACAGATGGCTCCTATCAGAGTTATATTGTACAATCACTGAGTGAGTCTTTTTGTTCTTATTGCAGCCTGCTGCCTCATGACTGCCAGCAACAGAAGAGGAGAGGCATTCGCCAGAAGCAATCTCGGTTCCTCCTTGAGGACGCCATCCCCAGTGTCAGTACTTTCCCACATAAACCTAACTTAGAGCTAGCTGCATCAGGGATCCTTTGCAGGGAATGTGATAATAAACACAGGCCTGTTAATAAAGACTGGAAAAAAAAAACTATTTTTCTTTGTGCCGCACCCTACAATTCAATAATAGGTTGTTGAGGCATTTGTATTGCCTGGTGGCACACAGGTGGTTGGGGCATGCCTTAATTCTAAAGCTAGCCATAGATGGATGGAAAATCAGCTGGTTCAGCAAAAAACAGGCAAATTTTAATCCATCCATGATCATTTCTGCTTGAGAGAATTCATTCTAAGTCGATGAGTCCCTGCTGTCAGAATAAAATAACACAGCGTGGAGGTTTCCTCTATCCACCTTGCTTGTGTAAATGGGGGGATCCCCCCCCCCCCCTCACTATTCACTCTGATTTAAAATAGAATCCATCTCTAGCTAGCCTTTCTTTCTGGAAGGTTTATTAGAGTAGATTGAGGTAAGGACTGACAAATGGTGTATATATGTACCACCACATTATGTCTTCTCTGAAATAATGTTACTTTAAACATAAAGTTTCAAAATACAGTAAAATCTTTGTCAATAGTAGAACCAGACTCTTGGGGGTTTATTTACTAAAGCTGGAGAGTCCAAAATCAGACTCCCTTCTGCATAGAAACCAATCAGCTTCCAGGTTTCATTGCCAAAACTTCATTGAACAAGCTGAGGTTAGAAGCTGATTGGTTTCTATGCAGAAGGGGAGTCTGATTTTGGACTCTCCAGCTTTAGTAAATAAACCCCTTGCTGTACACTTTGCTTCGCTTATTTTTTTTATTAAGGAGCGGCAGTAACAACCATAGAGTAGTAATAAAGTACAAAGTGAATACTGCTCTCATGTTGGACGGTGCACTCACCCCTTACCTTCTCTGTATTACAGAGTGATTTCACCTCAGCATGGAGCACCAACCACCACCTTGCCAGCATCTTTGATTTCACACTGGATGAGATTCAAAGCCTGAAAAGGTGAGTTGAATTAGACAGCGATAATACTGCTGAGGGTTAGATAACAGGATTACTGACCTGTGCCCTGCATTGATTATTTGGGTGATGTTTACAAAAATATTTATAAATCTGTATAAGAAATGTAATGTTTCTCCACATCTAAATAACACTGTTCTTCTGTTTTTTTTTTTTTTTGTTTGTTTGTTTTTGTTTATTTCAGTGCAAGTTCTGGCCAAAATTTCACCTCTGATTTAGACTCAAATGATGGGACCAGCACATCTGGCTCTGCCTCCACCTGCCTATCATACGAGTCACGGTAAGTGATAAGGAAACCCCCCACCAGCTGGAGAAGAGCAGATTCTGTTACTAGCCCAGTTCTAGAAGTCGGCTACATATGACTCCATAAGAGTAGTCAAATGAAGATGAGCATGTCAGCCCCAAACTCTGCATATTTAAAAGCGAGGTACAGCTGTAGTCTGCAGATTTCTGTCCTGACCAGTCTTTGTAGGGATCATAGCAGTAGGTGAATTCTCTTTTTAGAAATAATTATTCCTTAACTTATTAAGTTCATAAACATTTGACTGTTTCTATCTATTGAATTGGGGCTCTTAAAAATGACTGGAGGACCCACATGTGACGAACGCGGTGCCCGATCCCTGCCCTTCTCACCAACTCGTGACAAAGGACCAGCCAATCTCACACCGCACTGTCACATGCGTAACAATGCCACTCTTAGCTGCACCCTGCACAAAGAGATTTTCCGGCTCACGGGACCACAATCTATGTGCCAGCAGCCTGAGAGTGATTGTCACTGGGTTAGGTTAATTATGCAATTAACCCTTCCAACTCCAAACTGCCACCAGATAGCTTTGGGCTATCAACCCTTCACAATGTTAGCAAGAACAAATGGGAACAATAAACCTCAGTAACACACACTGTCACCACAGACACGTATATTCAGAGGATTATCATATACAGTAGCACTCTTCAAGAGACAGGGATTCTTTAGTTTGCTTTAAAAGCCTTAGAGATAACTTAAACACTTTTTAAAATAGGGTTTATTATTGAAAAGGTCAAATGGTGTAATTTAAAATATTTACAGAAGGATGTTACAAAGATATATAAAGAGAACAATAAAGCAGCAGAGAAATAAAAGAAAGTTAAGAATGCAGAATAATTGCAAAGTCCTTTTGGTTTTAGCAGAGTCCACTTGTCCAAGCAAAAAACGTTGCCTTGGCTCTCAAGTCTAACATGTTCCTTGGTTGATGTTAAACGAGAGTTCTTAACAAGTCCTGTCTGTCCACACCCCCTTGAGATCATAGAAAAGGGACTGAGACCAACTGACCAATAATCCGGTTTAAGTGATGGGTGTTGGGAGGCCACTATGTTTACGACCAATTCCCAACTACAGTTTTACCCTAATATATTAATAACCTCCAATATGTGCAGGTGGTATTCTAGCAACTGGCAGATTAATATTTCGAATTATATTTCGAACCCAGGGATACCAGACACAGCGTACCTTGCCACCCAGGAGGCAGGAGACTGCTTTCTCCCCTTTCATATGTGCTAACATAGTAATGTATGACCTTGATTTGTTTCGGTATGATATTCCCTATTCAATATTCATATATTCAGTATATGTTCCTGTTGAATTCTATTAATTGTATGTGGAATAGACATTTTATGGCACACTCTGCATTCCTAGAACCTTAATGCCTTACAGGTCATGTGTGACTGCTTGAGTTATTTTTTACAATGGGGCAGAGGAAAGTGTTTTCCATGGTTAGTGGAATCGGACATCCTGCCAAGACTAATTAGCTGTTTACAGCCTGGCCAGCTCTGTTTGAAAACTTCAAAAGGAACCTCTGATCTTTATTTAAAACTATGGAATTTGTAGCTGTAACTTTTAACAAACCGGGGGGCAATAGGAACACTGCTGATGAGACCCCCACAAGATGGCTGTTGTGTACAGCTTCCACGTCTCTATTGCGCATAATCGTTACACCCCATATTGCCAGTTTTATCTGCAGAACTACAGTTGGATTGTGCAGTTTACCATCCAAGAGTCTGTAGAACAGCAGGTAGTTGAATGCTTTTGTGTGTGGGCTTTTTTTTTTTTTTTTTTTCTTTTCCCTCCCCCCATTTTTGAATAGTGTTGGAGGGTTGTAACGTGTGTGTGTTCTACCCATCTGTGTCCCACTGGGGAGATTTCCCTTCACTTCCTGCCTCATAGCCAAAACAGGAAGTGAGAATAAATCCACCTAAAGTGATGGATTCCAGGTGTTTCACTGGAACTAGTAGCCCATTGTAAGATTTAACCTCCATTCTGATGTCAACCCAAAATTTGGAATTTTCTTTTATTGTCACTTTTTTTATGATACTAGTAAACAGGAAAAAAAGAGAGCAAATCTCCCTAGCAGGGGCACAGACAACAATAAAAGCTGATAGGTGTTCTAATCCCTCTCCACTCTATCAAAAACTTTAGTTTTGCCTTTAGTTACTCTTTAAAAGAATACATTGTACAATCGCACATTCAGTGCCTTCTCTCACCTTCATACAATTTAATTTTGGTAAATGTCACCTTGCCTCTATTTGATATTGATTTATGCTGCTTTGGTTACAGTGGAAACATTGGAAGCCGCAAGCGGAAGCTGGCCTCTAAGACTTACACTGCTTTTGAATCAAAGAGGAGGACCCTGGACCACTCAGACAGACAGAACAGCTGTGCTGCAGAATCCATGGAGTACACCCGATTGTCTGACTTTCAAGATCATGCCGCTGACAGTCACGCCTTCGAGAGCCTCAGTGAGGATGACTCTTCAATGCCACACCTCAAACACTCCATCACAACTTATTTTGGTGCTGCAGGAAGGTTGGCTTGTGGGGAGAAATACCAAGTATTGGCACGGAGGATCACCCCTGAAGGAAAAGTCCAGTACTTGGTAGAGTGGGATGGAACCACCCCGTACTGACCTGGACATAAAATTTTATATACATATATTTTGTAACCAAAGTAAGGAAGCGCATGCTGAAGCAAACCCTTTTGGCCATATTGCCAGTCATGGTGTTTCTACTAAAAATAAGGTGACATTTGACTCTAGTGACATTTGCTGCACATATAATTATAGCACTTATACAGGGTACAAATATTGAACAGCCCTAGGGCCACAATACTGACATTTTTACTGACTTTCCCCCCGATATACTGGGACTTCGAGCAGGAAAGTAGAAATGCTTTGCTTTTGGATCTAGAAGTAGCTTTCAAGATTGTAGAACCGAAGACCTCGCTTTACTAATATCAACTCCCCACTGGAGGCTAAATCAATGAGAAAGCTGTGGGCAGGACCACAGGTTAAAAAACAGGAATTACATATTGGATGTAACTTCAGCTGTAATGTAATGTTTGTTTCCCCCAATCCCATTTTATTTGCGGTCTTTGCCTTAGCAGAAATCTTACAATTGGACTTTAAGCCACAAAACATATTGCTTCTCTGACTGCTGAGTGGTGTACATCCCATGTCAGAGACTAAACGTGCAATACTAAAGGAAGGGATGGCGCAGGAAAATGTAGTCATGTGCTTTACATGCCACAGTTGATGGACCATTTGTCTACAGTTAATTCAAAAAACTGAAGACGGCCCTAAAGGACAATGATCCTTATTTGCTTCAAAGATGTTTTGGTGGCTTGTTTGGTTAACGAAGGTCTGCTTGGCTGGGTAATGATTTATCTATGTAGTGATGGCAATTACAAAATGTGGATGAAAGGGATGTGCGCACACAGTTTAAACTTCAACTTTTTTTTTTTTTTTTTTTTTTTTTCCCCCTGAAGCAATGGCAAAATCTGGGAAGTGAATGATGAAATATATGACCAGTGTCAAATTACTATGACTGAAAATAGTATGCAACATTGTTGGTTCCAGCATCACAGATTTCAAACACAGGATTGCCTTTTAAACATCACTTTTTTGAGAGAGGAGACAAGGAGACCACGTGACTTTTTTTTTTTTTTTTGTTTTTTGGAACCACATTATACAGAAAGTGCTGTGCCTGTAGGTGGTGTTTTCCTTTCTGGATGTTTATTACAGTATATGGAGTGAGTTAGTTTTTATAAAGCTAAAACACTTTTTTTTTTTTTTTTTTCTTTTAAAAAGCACTTATTTTTACCATGACTGCAATGAGGGGCAAATTTATATTGTTTATATGAGCTGCTTTTTAGAACTGCAAGAAAAAATGTAAAATTTTTATATATGTTTTTATGTAAGAATGTAAAGACAACTGACATAAGAGGTTTTAAAACTATTCTGATAGCTAGGAATGCCTTTTCTAACTTCAACCAGTTCCTCTTTCATAGAACGAGGGTGTCCAACAGACCAAACTGTTAAAGCATGACATGTGTTCCAGATTCCTGTGAAATGGCCAGTGTGCTTCTATATAAATGTCACAGCTGTGCCATCACCTGTAAGTCTGGAAAAACGTCACTAATTTGATTGAATGGAAGACTCCCAAATAGGTGACTAAGCACAAGATACAATACAGTTAAACATGATTGTGTGATTGGATTGTAATGTACGTGTGTTGTGTATGTGGCTGGTATTGTGGGCCTTGAGGAAATGTTTGAGAAATGCTGACATTGGTGATTAGGTGCATATGGAGGGGGGGGGGGGGGGGGGGGGGGACGTTTTGTACAACTTGCACAGGCTGAAAAGCACCCAGTTTTATTCATTGTGTATCTTTTAATGTACATGCATACAGTCATATGAACATAAGGCACCTGCTGTGCAGGTTCATGCTGTGCACAGGATCCTGCATAAAAAGCGCTCTGTACAAATGTAATGTTTAATGTTTAACATGCATGCAGGATTGCAGCATAAATGGCCTTTCTGCTGCAAGGATGCAGGCTGCTCCAAAAAAATGCATTTGGGCTGTTTGCATGTAAACATGATCACAAATGTGCATGTGTGCAGTGTAAAATATTGTTCATATGTAGGACTTTGAATGGCTTTTTTTTCCTTTCTTTTTTTAACCTATAAAGCTGCGTTCAGATCCCTACAAAAAAAGAAACACTGGAGGTTATTTTCTAAAACTGGAGCATGCCAAATCGGGTGCAGCTCTGCAGAGACCAATCAGCTTCCAGGTTTTATTGCCAAAGCTTAATTGAACAAGCTGAAGTTAGAAGTTGATTGGCGATCATGTACGGCTGCACCAGCTTCTGACTGCTTTAGTTTTTGTAAATCTCCCTCACTGCATTCTTTTCCTTCTGTGTGCATTATTTATTTTTTTTTTTTATGAAAGTTTTTTTTTCTTCTTTGTAATTAAATTCCTAGTAGATGAATGCTTGAGGTGATTGTAGCCGTATTAGTGCACTTGCGACAGAAACAATTGAGTACTGTCATTATCCAACATTTTTATGACTCCCTCTGTGAGTGTTGTTTCCCCCCCCATTATTATTATTAATTTTTTTTCTCATCCCCCACATCTCTTTGAACATTCTGCTAAAACATTCTAATAGTACTGCTTGGACCTTGAAGAAGTAGACATACCCCGAGAGCTTGTCCTCAAAATTGTATGTTAGTGCAAATAAAAAAAGTATCACGCCAGTACTCAATTGTTTCTAGTAGATGAATGAATGGCACCATCTTGTGGTAGCCCATTAACTGGCACATAATTTTTATGTGCTGAGAAAAGCCATTTGAAAGAAGGCTGAGCCTTTATCCCGCCAATTTTTGCCTATGTTTTACTATATGTAGTCCAGGGAACACTTTTTGGACAAAGAGAATGTATGGGGGTTTAGAATTGTTGTTACAAGCAGGTAATACATTTATTTTAGTGGAGGAGGGGATTCTTTTTGGATAGTTGTACAACTTGTCTGTGGTCTGAGAGCTTCCTAACTGACCCTGCAGCACAGAAAATTCACTGACCTGAAGATGAATGAAAGAGAGACAGCTAGAAGTCTGTTTGTGTAGCATGAAGTGATTCAGTTGGATTTAGAACCCTCTCTATCCCCTTGAGGGTCAAACTGCAAAGAACGCTTCCTTCTCTGTCAGTGCTCGCCCCCCCCCCCCCCCCCCACTTGCTGCATCCTTAAACAGTCAACGTAACCCAATATTTTATTTTAATAAAGTATCTGTTAAAATAACAGCTATTTATTGAAAGCCCCCTCCCTCACCCATATGCCCACACAGATAATGAGATCTTTCTATATTACTGTGTGGTGGCATCTGTTGCTTAACTACTGTTTCAGGCTAGACAAGGCTACATTCATACATGACTATATTTCAGAATTGGGTCAGATATATATATTTATTAGTGTTACCCAAATCTGACCTTTTTGAAACAGCTTGACGATTTTGTGGCCCTTTTATAAAGAATTATAGACTAGACCCATAATTTACTGTGCCACTCAGTAGAAGACTCTAATGCTGCAGAGTGTTTTGTACCTGTAGCACATTTTTTTGACAAAGTATATGTAAAACAATTGATAAAAGCTTTAATACATTGATGATGTTTAAAACCTTATTTTTTAAATTTTCAATACCTTTTCTTTATGCATTCTGCAGATTTAAAAAGAATACCTTGCAGTCCATCCGTGAAGATCATTGTAGGGGCACTTCCTGTTCTAGAGTGACAACAGTCTGTCCCCCCTGCCCCTTCAGCTGGTCATGTTTTCAGGCTTCCTCCTTCCACAAGGAAATTCATTTTTTCTAGATCCGTATTACAGCTGTGCTATAGTCCTGAAAACATGCCCTGCTGGGTAGCTGCAGATAAAATGAGGTTAAAAAAAAAATTCCTAAAACTTTCCAAATAAATCTGCACAAATCTATTGGCTTGCTTAAGTGTGCAGGGAACCAAAGCTGTTCCACAGATTAGAGGATACCAGTACTTCCTTTCCTACTGTTTCCTGGAAACACTAGTTGCCTGGCTATTGTGTTGATCCACAGCTTCAGCACTTTCTGATGCTCCCATGCAGAACTATGCAAAACAGGGCTTTGCTTTCGCTAACTGCATGTTTGTGGCTGAGTATTGAAGCCAAAGACAGCTAGGTCCCTAGCATTTTCAGGATAGGTAAGCAGTGGCAGCCTCTGTATTTAGTTCATTATAGGTTTCCTTTTAAACAATCTATTTACCCTAAAGTATAGCTAAATCCCACATTTTTGTTTTGGATGGAGTAAGGAGTGGTAAAACCCCCATCACTGTGTGGATTTTTTTTTTCCCCCTCCATCTTTGTCCCATTTGAAAGGATTAGCTTTACTTCCTGTCCCATGGACACAACAGGAAGCAGGAATAATCTCTCTAAGAGAAAAAAAGCACTAAATGATGAGTGAGTGTCCCCATGGGAAGATTTTGTATCTTGCCATAAATGTGGATGTATTTCTGTGCCCGGAATACACAGCTGCTGCTTACAGCCATCCATGGTAATGGATGGCCATATGTAGCTTCACAGGTTTATGTAAGTAGCACCATACAGCCACGACATGTAGACTCTCATACAGCCATTTATTACTTTGAATGGCTGTATAAGGCAGCAGTGTATCCCACGTACAGAAATATTTCTAAGATTTACATTTTATGGCCTTATGACCTGTTCTGATGTTTTGGCTAAAGATACACTTTAAAGAAGGTTAAAATGTTTGCAGGCAAGTTCGATTCTAAATCCTTCTAACATGGTCACTGAATGATCTAGCTATATAATAATAATAATGTAATATATATTTTTTTATATAATATTTACTAAAATTTTCTATTCAGAGGCATGTGTGTATTATAAATATAGCTGTGTATGTGAAAATGCACGTGCGTCGCCCAATTAATCTGCAGCTGTTCTGGCTGCACTTCCCACGTAGCAGTTCTGAATGTAGAATTGCCCTGTAATATGTAACGGTGGCAGAGATGCTAGTGATTGGCTGCTTTGGATTATATTACCTTAGCAGTGTAAATGTATATCACATTATTTTTTTCATAATTGCTATAAAAA